AAAAAAAAAAAAAAAGCACATGTAGGGGCCAGCCCTGTGGCCTAGTGGTTAAGTTTGGTGCACTCCACTTTGGTGGCCCTGGTTCCGTTCCTGGGTGCAGACCTACACCACTCATCAGCAGCCATGCTGTGGTGGTGACCCACATACAAAATAGAGGAAGATCAGCACAGATGTTAGCTCAGGGTGAATCTTCCTTAGCAAAAATATATACATATTAAAAAAAAAAAGCACATGTAGATCAAGCAGAGCCTTCACACTGAAGAAAGAACAAATTCCACACATACATGTATTCTATTTTTCAAATGTTTATATACATTGTCTTGATAGACAAAATTCAAATTCACTTTAAAAAAAATACTGCTGGAACCCAGTGAGGTCAAAGCCCAGAGGGCTGAAAGGTAGAACTGGACTAAGGAGCAGGGTCAAAGCCATAGTGCTGGGGAGATACGACACCATATCACAATGGACGACACCATACCATTGACACAAGTGTTCACGGGAGAACTCCCAACCACAGGAAGCCTGAGAGTTAGGAACTGATTTCACAACACCACCTTTATCACTTCTAAAATTTAAATACTACTCTGCCCCTTAATCTAAACAAAGTTACATTTTATTACTCCAAATATTAACACAATTTTTTTAAAAGTTACCAATACATTTCATTGTCATAGAAAGACACCAAAGTATGGACATTTCAAAGAAAAAGGAATGAAATATCAGTTATATGTGCTTTAGTTAGGTAAATACAAGGAAGCTGCCTTCTGAGAACGTAATCTAATGGGAGGAGAAGGCAAAACAAAGGCACAGTCAGTGTCTGGAGCAAGCAACCAAAAACCTAGTTTTCAGAGTGAGACATTCCTTACCCTATAACATCAATCACCTTCAAGAGCTCCGGGTCAAGCAGCATAGAAGCAGAAATGGGCTCCCAGAGATTATCACTGGCGATGATTTTCACTTGCTGGAGACCTTGATAGTTCAGCATTCTTCTTAACACCTATCAGAGAGAGAAACACAACATAGGAAAGGTTACAAATGAGTTTTCAGCTGTTGAATTATGGCCAAGATAGCCAAAGAATCTTCAAAAATCAGTATCCTGGATGATAGTGTCAATATTATTTCTCAATAGAAATGTGCCTCCTGTGGAAAATGAAAGCATTATCATCAAGATAACCTACTTAGTGGGAATGTACAAAGAAAAGGAAAAAAAAAAAAAGAGGTAAAAATGTTTTGGAGGTATTTTCCCTCTGACTTTAAAATTATGTTTAATCATAGAAAATTTGGGAGGGAGGGTGGAAATTTAAAAAAAAAAAAAATCACAATAGTACTACCCAGAAATAACTACTATTATTTTGGTATGCACTCTTTCAGGAATTTTCTTATGCAGACGCAATAATAAAATTGAGATCAAATTAAACATACCATTTGGTAAAATGCTTTAACATATCATCTTATTTTGAGTATTTTGCAATGTATTTAAATATTCTGCCATTACTGAAAATATTACACTTCTTAATACTTTGTAATATTACTAGAAGTAGAAATAAGAAATATTCCATTGTTACCCTCAAGTCTTTCACACATATAGACAGGACAGGCGATGAAATCTACCTGTAAGACTATCTGCCCAGGAAAATTAAAAGTAACAAGCTAAATTCTACCAGGAAATAAATCAACAAAGCACAGATACCTACTCTGGTATTTAGTACTGTACTTGGGCCCCATGAGGACTCGAAAAGAAGCACAAGATGGGGTCCTCACCCTTAGGTTGGCAAAGACACTCACCAGGACACTAAAACTAACAGCATGTACTAGAAAACCAGAGAACAGGTACTTACCAAAAGGTATGGATTGCCAAAAGGTACAACAAGAGCAGAGAAAAGGGACATCATTTTAGCCAGGAGCAGAAGGATCCGATTTCAGAACAGAAGTGGTTCTTGAGAAATGGGTTTGAATAAGCCCGGTGCTCTACACCCAAGCACTTGGAACTGTCTGGCTCAAAGTAGCAGGTGCTCAAGAAATAGCGGTGTAATTAATTAAGTAATTAAGATAAGAAAGAACAAAGAACTTCACAAGCTCTCTTTTCACATTCTAACTTCTCTGAATTAGGGAATTTTCCAAGTAATGTGCTCTTTTAGAAGGCAAATAGTAAAAGCTCTAATCAATTCCATGTTGTATTTAAAATGGATGGTTTCTTAGAACTGATGTCCTCCGGTATTTTAGAAAAAGAGATGAGAAGTAGAGTAGCAATCCAAGTTCATCTTTCAGACAAGGTCAGTTGAGTCCTAGGGCACCCTGGAAGCTATCTGGAGAGATCCTTCATAGTAAATAGAGACCAACTCTCAAGATTCAATAAGATTGAGAATCCCTATCCCTCTACTAAGAAACCAATCTTGAGTTTCATCACCCTGAAATTCTCTCTTATTCTTACAGAAAGGAGGGAGAGCAACGTAGTCAAATTTGCATTTATCACTATATACCTAGTTTTTCTAGTGCTATTCCTAGATCATCACCTCTAAGACTGCTGACTTTTACATATAGTATATATTTGAATAACACTCCAAAATATACAAGTCTATAAGCTGTGTTTTATAAAGTCTCCATCCCAAAGTCAGTATGAATAGCAGTATTTGTTGAGCAAAGCTTTATCTAATATATTTTCAAACGTTGCTTTTATTGTGGAACCTTTCACTTCCTCCAAAAAAAGCTTAGATGGAAACCCTATTTATAAGATAAATGAAAGGGAAGCTGTTCTGGTTGAACTGAGTGAGGTCCCACAGACTCACACATCCATTTCCACCCACCACCCTCAGACCCTAGATGGGACTTTCCAGACACAATTTAAAAACCACATCACTGAAAATCAGAATAAATCATAAAAACAAGATAAATAGCAAAAATAAACTTAAAAGAAATAATAGCTCTGCCGTCTTTACATAAATTGCTTGTTTGTATTGTATTTATTTCTACTCTTAAAAACAAATGTTTGTTATTGCCAGGGGCCATCTTACTATACTACATGGAATAAGTATTCATTAAGCTTATCAAACCTGAACACCTACATTCATGTGCCATTATTGAACTCTTCCCAATAGGCATTTTAACAAACAGGACACAGATTCCAATAAAATCTCGCTACAAAAATGGCAAACACAAATTAAAAGTTTTTACATCCTCAGATATTTTACTGCAGGTAAACTAAAGGTTGAGACAAAAGGAAATGAAGTCTGAACTGTTTAAAACACTGATGACGAGTCTTAGAACAGCAATTAATCGTTCAAACCAGCTAAGCTGAATTAGAACACAATAGAATCAGCAACAGACACTTAACAGTAAAAAAAATAAAATAAAATAAAACAACCACCTCAGTTGCAGATCATTAGTTTAAAAGAAAAAGGCAACCAGATTCTAATGCTTCCTTCAAATGAAATGAACACAACTACAGAGACACATGTATAATCACAAAAGAAAAAAAAATAATAAGCTGTGAAATGTCAAATCGGAGTAAATAAAAAGTTGATCACTTCACTATTAGGACTCTGCAGCACCACCATCCACCTGACTACAGGGTTGTACACAGTACATATGCACTAATGTGGCTTCTCTCTGTGCCCTTGCTGCTCTCATCAGACCTGTACTCACAGCAGTCACAATTTTCCAGTAACAACCCTAGTGCTTCACTGCCCCACCTCCCACAACCACCCCACCCAACCCCCACACTCTCACCACTCCAGTGGGAATGCCTGCAGCCTGCAGCTCACCTTGAGGTACCTGGCTCTGGCTGCAATCCAACCTATCAAATCCCACAACTACAGATTAGTTAAAATGTGCAGTTACTCCAGCAAACATATTGGCCTACTAATGGCTCAGTTCGCCCACTTTTCCTCCCTTGTCTAATCCATCTTTCCCCCAATCCCTTTACCTCTCAGTCTTCACTTCTTTGCAGTGTCATTCCCCTGCTTTAGCAACTTGGTTCCTATCTATCCCACCTTGAAGATTCCAACTACATGTCACCTCCTCTAATAGACTTCCCTAATCCACCTGGGCAGAGGTGTCATCTCCTCTCTGCACCTTCGGACATCCCTGTATATGCATTATGCTGCTAGAGAAATTATGACCAATATTTTAGCCGTCCATATGGGACTCCATCGCCCCCCATATGTGAACTCCTTTGGGCAGAAACATAAGTTTTATTCCTTGTATTCCAAGTGTGCACAATACCTGACAAACTAGGTGTTGAGTAAATGCTTGCTGATTGAATGAATAAATAAATTTAGTGGATATTACCTACTTAAAAACATAAGACACTCAATTTGAAGAAATTTTTTTAAAACCTGAAACAAAATATAACCATAAATTATATTTCTTAGGGAAAATACACATAAAACAAGACAAAAGGAACTGAAAAGTAAACTAGTGAATATCTCCACCTGAAAGTTAAATTGCCATTTGTTTTCCAATGACAGAAAAGGTTATTATTCTCAGCTTTTCCTTTCCTGAAAAATAGCAATAATAGTAGTTACCTCATAAGGGAGGCAGTGAGAATTAAATGGAGATAAATATTTAGGAAAATTGGTTCCAAAATAACACACCTTTGCAAATATTATTTGCTACCTGTTTGCTAATCAAATACAGAAACATGTAACACACTCCAATATAATAGGCATTCCAAAGAAAACAAGAATGAGACGATATACTAGAAATTTTGACATAATGAAAGAAAAAAGCTACATTTCTTCAAGTCCCAAAAGTCTAAAATAACACAGTTGTTTTTATACTGATTATCACAATACCACAAATAATGAATTTTAAAATAGGAAATTCCACACAATAAAATAGGAAATCCCAACAATAGGAAATTGTCTTCAGACAAAGGCAATTCAGGGCTTACACGGAATTATATATGTTTCAATATTGGGAATATAAACATTATTAAGATTTTGCTTGAATTTTATGTCACAACTAACAAAATAAATAACTGTGCTGTAAAAAATACAGTGTTCCTACTACTAATTTCCACGGAGCCATAAAAGAATTATTCACTAATAACTTAAAGATAAAAAGATTTGAAAGTTGTACAGACCTTGATATAATTGGTGTCAAATGTCCTCTCATTCCAAATCTGCAAAAGAAGAAGTCAAAAAGCCTGAATTGAAAGTTTTTAAGTGTCAGAAAGTAGACATTATCATTAAGATGTCACTTCCCTCATCGTCTCTCATATCATCTGAAAAGCCATTTTTCTTACTTTATGGAACGTTCTGTTACAGAATTTATAGATATTTATAAGACAACACAACTTTTTGAAATTATTTTTGAAAATCTTAAAACATTTGGTGGGGTTTTTTCAAAAAATTACTTATTCCAGAGATTTCTAAAAATGGAATATTCATTCAATCATTCAACAAATATTGACAACACAATGTGTGGAAGGAACTATACTAGGTCCTGGAGACCTAGCAGACATAAGGATTGTTGTAATAATTCTTACTGGATCCCTATGGGCACAGCTGAAAGCCAAGTATTATGAACACAGCACAGCAGTGATTTTGTTAGCACACAGAGAGAATCACAATGATGTGCTACATCACAAAAGCAAACTCTTAATGGGCATAAAAGGAACACACACAAATCTCTTAGGTTTAGAATCATGAAGCATGAGGTTTGGGAGTTGAAAGAAAACATCCATGACTTTCACTGTGCAGCTGAGAAAACTGTTAATGACAAGGATAGGCCTCGAGTCCAGTGATACAGGAAAGAGTTTCTTATCCAAGAAGCTCATCACCACAGCATGTGATTATCAAGAGTCTAAAGAGATGTGAATCACCCATTATCTACCAGAAACATTTCCGAAGTGTGACTTTACCATAATAGAATGCTATTAGACCCAAACCTACATTTAGTCTCACCATGGGTTAAAAGTACCCTAATGTATAAGAAAGTTCTAAAATACAAACCAATTTTCAGTTATAATTTGGAGAAAGATAACAAAAACAAGTACACTCCTGCTTCTGGCTTCCTACAGCCCTTGGCTCATCCTCATGTCCTATATCATCCTGTGATAACTGCAGTTTATCTGTTTCAGTGTCTACCTCTCTCCCTGAATTCTCAAGAACCTGTTAATCCTGGTATTTCTAGAACATAATAGTCACAGTGCCTGCAACACAATAGGAGCTCAATAATTGCTTATTGATTGCATGAAAATTTTTAAAATCAGCTTTGACAGATGGTATATTAACAAATAAAAGTGTATGGAGACCCACTATGTGCGTGTGTAAGGCTCTGGAGGGCACAATGTGGTCTGAGGCATGCCTCCAGCCTGCCAACAGAGCAGCTGGAAGGACAAGACATCATGTTTTGCATTTTTTAAATCATTAAAAGGTGTTAAATAACAGTTGAGAACACGGGTAGGCAGATTTCAGCCAGTCTGCCAAATCTGGCCCACCACTTGTATTTTTATAGCCTGAGAGCTAAAAGTGGTTTTGACAGTTTTAAATGGTTATATTTTAAATGGTTATATAATTACCTACATAATATCCTTAATAATATCTTTTGACCCACAGAACCTAAAATATTTACTCTCTTGTCCTTTAAGAAAAGTCTACCATCCCCCGGTTTAGGACAATAGAAGACTCATAGAGCAAAATGAGATCAATCATTAAACTCTATAGTCAACATAGTATTGCTGTATGAACTACAGAAACTAGGGAAAGCTCTGAAGAAGGAGAATTTAAGCTGGGGTGGTACTAAAAACGAAACAACAACAATAAATTTAAAAAAAAAACAGTTCAGAGAAGGTATATACTTAAGTACAGTTTTCAAGTGTGAGAAGAATTTAGATGGGCAAAGAGGAGGAATAAAAGGTGACATGTAGTTAATTTATGTTATTATCAGACACTAATAGAACAAATTAGTCTCATGACAAAAAATGGCTAGTCAACAAAGTGCCACAGAATCAAATTACTTGAAAAAATTACAAATAAATGTCCAAAAATTAATCATGCTCTAAATATATTACTAACCCCGATATAATCAATGTCCAAATCATGATAATGCTTGGCGCCCACAATCCAGCTCACGACATAGTAGGCGGTCAGCTGAAGATTTACATAAGGCCAGTTGAAACCTTTTCCCAGCCATCCAGGGAATGACCATGGCAACCCTGCAGAAGGAAGAGGCAAAGGTGTTGTGGGTATAACAGTGCTGGCACTATTAAAAACAGAGCAAAACAAACCAAAAAGAACACAGGCTAAGCAAAAAGCCAATACAGATCTGACTAAAGGAAAGATTATATACCATGCACCAATTCTCAAAATCTCTTCCAGTCTATGGACACTATTCCTTATTCATCCCTAGAGTCACATTCCATAATTCCAAATGGTCTTTCAAGAAAAAAATAAAAACAAACGACAAAAACAAACACCTCTCTCAACTTGGTACTCACTTACCAATAGAAAGAAATGTAACATACAATTGAACTTAACATCCCCATCACCTGCTATAAGGATGTTCAGTATTCAATTTCTGTTCTCTAAGGTCAAATCAAAGAGTTTTGAAGCTTATGCTTAACTACTTCTATGAGATAAGTACAATACAACTTCCTCATTCACTAGTACATCTTCTTATAACTTAAGGCTACTTAAAATATTAATTAGTCAAGTAATCAAATGTAGCAAAACTAGTTCGTCCTTTATCAATATAAATGTCAATGACTCAATAGGGAAATATACATTTGTTAAATGATAAAGATCAAATAATCTGCATTTTTCCAATACCTTAATTATTACTTTTAAGTAAAAAAATGAGAAGAGTAGAGAAGTGAGACAAGAACCAGCCTAATGAGACAGGGTCATCTGCAAGGCCCTTGGCCTAACAAGATAAGGCCCCTAACCAATCAGCAAGCTAGGAGAATCAGAGAGACACCACCAAGATCCATATTCTGTAGCCTCCGGACTTTCCGGGGCTTACCCATGCACCCTAGCACCCAGAAGTCCCCTGAAAGTGACCCTAGCCCAATTACCATAGTAAAAATGACACCCAGGGGCCGAGAGCTAGCATGCTAATGATACATGCAATGCATGTGGTGGCATGTGGAGCAACAGCCAAGCGCAAGAAAAACCCTCCCTCTACACGCCATGACAAGGCTCCTCCTCAGCCTTTGCCTAGTAAAAGCCCCACAGTCCCGCTCCCTAAGGAGCCAGACACCTGCCCCTTTCCTTTCCGCACCGGCTCCCTTGTGCCTCTCCTGTGCACAAGCTAATAAACTTTTACTTTCCAACTTCCAGTTATTGTCTCTCTTGATTTCCATTCTGAGGGACAACAAAAACCCAATATGCCAGTAACAGAAGCGCTAATTAAATTCTAAATCCTAATTCTGTTGCTAATATATTAAAATAAGCTCAACAGTTGAGTTTGTTAACTAATATATATTACTAATCTAGCTCACCACTGCAAAATCAAAAACAAAATGACAAAACGCTTATTTTTCTAAACTCAGGAAGTATGTCTAAGTGTATTTACGTAAGAAATGTGACATTAAAATAATGGCACATTTTAAAACAATGAAATGCAAATACATTCCGAAGGCCCAACCTTTGCAACTCCTTGTTAGGACAGGGTTCGGTATGCCAGATTTTCTACATTTAAATGAGAACTGACCTTGAAAGCAGCCCCATGGGCGAGTATGTGCTGAAGTCAATGATGCTTTTTACTGCTCAGAACATTTCTGGACTCTCTTACAAAAGTCCATTTAGAAAGAACACACTGACTCCTCATTTTTTTAATTTGGAAAAACCTATGCTTGTCCCTTAATTCAATTGTTGAAAAAGAGTTTTAAAAATAACTTGAAATCAAGTCTATAAAATGCGTCTCATTAATCTCACTTAATTTAGTCTGAATGCATAAGTCTTTTTAAAAAATCAAATTCATTTCAAAAGATGATGGTACGCCACCACTGTGGATGTTTGAAATATTTGACAGGTCTGTACGTTGCTACAGGAGAACTGGGAAATGAATACAGTCCCATTTGAGAAATCATCCAACGATCCTGCCACTAGAACCTAAGCTCCTCAAGGGCAGGAATTGAGGGCTGGACTGTTCAGTATCTCCAATGTCTGGAACAGTGACCACTACATCACTGAGGTTCAAAACAAACAAACAAAAAACACTTTTGTATGTACCTCTTCTAGAAATGAGGTCTACTATTGCATGTAACACACAATTTTGCAAATCGGGGTATACTGCCGGATGTAATATACAATTTTATAAATAGTATTGCCCTTTTACAAATTTTGATGAGAAATTTTGTTAAGGAAAGTAGTTTAGCATCACAAAAAAACCCAGAACGGAATTGGGTTCTAAATCTTATTTTGTCCCGTGGCTTAGCGGTTAAGTGCGTGCGCTCCGCTACTGGCGGCCCGGATTCGGATCCCAGGCACGCACAGACGCACCGCTTCTCCGGCCATGCTGAGGCCGCGTCCCACATACAGCAACTAGAAGGATGTGCAACTATGACATACAACTATCTACTGCGGCTTTGGGGAAAAAAAGGAGGAGGATTGGCAATAGATGTTAGCTCAGAGCTGGTCTTCCTCAGCAAAAAGAGGAGGATTAGCATGGATGATAGCTCAGGGCTGATCTCCCTCACAAAAAAAAAATAAAAAATAAATAAATAAATCTTATTTTGCCGTTTACTATCTGAACTTAAGTCAGTGGCATAACCTCTCTAAGCCTCCACTGCTCCTTCTGTAAAATGAGAAGAGTAATGCCTTGTCCAGAGGTATTATAAAGACCAGACATAATACATAAGGGCAGAGAAAGGATTATGTCTGGCACATGGTTTGCTGCTGGTAGCATATGGGTAATATTAACAACACTATTAGCACTTCAATATTAATACAGACTCCATATAGATGATTCAGAATTTAAAAGTTAAAGGAAAACAGACTGCAAAAGCATGGCAGACGTCACTTCTTACCCATGAGTGTAATATTAGGGTTCCGCTTCTTAGCTTCCTTCATTAACCACCACTCATATCCTCGGAAATAATTCTCATCTAACGCGTAGTGCATGTGGGAGGGCTCAGTGCCGTCTGCACGGGAGAGAGCATAAGAGGAAGGAAACTCACCATCAATGGTGCTGCATAGGGCCACTCTCCCCTACACACATATACTCATTTCACAGAAATGCCATGCCAGTTCCAATTCTGAAGTACCGCAAATAAGAATAATCTTATATAACTTGAGGACGGATCATCAAAGCATATTATTTCATCTTTTTTCATTATCCTACTCATTGTAAAGGTCTTAAATAAGAAAACCACAACTTTCTATTATACGCAGTGTTAAGAGAAGTGTTATCACCTCATATAATTGAAAATTCCCAGGACTACCTTCTGTTGGTCTCTCCGGGATTTTCAAATCCTCATGTCCAACTTTACGTTCACATCACCTCAGCTTCCAGCTTCTCAATCCTGGATGTGAATCTCCGGGCTCTTAAGCCCCAATTCTCACACCCCATGCCTTGAGCCTATAACATGCCTTGTTACACCATGACAACAGAGTTTTGAGAAAAAAGGAATGAGTACACATCCCTGTTATAAAAAATTCTATACTAACCTCTATAGTGTGTCAAGGTAGGTAACTGACATGAGTCCGCACGTGTTACCAGGCTTCACAAAGATCTGCCCTTGTTAAGAAGGACCTCACAAGGACAGGGGCCCTTGCTCTTCTATTCTTACAGGTAAACATCAGAATTCGCAAGAACTACCTGCTTCTGTATCTCTACTTCTAATGTAGCTTCAGCAAACGAAGCTGGCCAGTCATTATCAATTCTGCATAAAAGGGTTTCACCATGAAATGCATGTTCTCTTACAATAGCTTGGGGAAAGTTTTTGTTACAGGAGTTTTCTTTTGTTTTAATTTGCATTTTTTCTTTCAACACAAATTAAACTCTAATACGAATACACAGATATATTCGTTTAACAAAAATTACTTCCAAATCACTAACAGGAACACTAGTATATGGACAATACTCTATAGTTCACTATAATGGAATCTGACCTATAAATAATAAGCTATATATAATCATTAAAAGAATTAAATTCCTTTTTCTTCTTCCTGGAAACCAGAGCCCTATAAACTTTTAATTGACTATATGTACACAAAGCCAATCAAAATGGTGACAATGAATACTGAAGATTTAGTGGTTAAATATAATTTTGTTTTTAAAATAAAAAAAGCTATATAACTGAAATATTGATTACTTATATTTTTACCACTTTATTTAAAGCTGATAACACCTTACACGTTTTATACAACATTAAAAGCTTTCTTTTCCTAACTTTTCAATGAAATTCCAAACTATCCCTATGCTCTGTTTAGTGAATATAGTTTTTAGAAAACTGGATTTGTCTACCACTGATTACTTCAACCAAATAGGCAATCTAAAATCCAAACGCTGTTTTTCATGGAAAAATTCATTTTTTGATATAATTTTTTAAAAATAACTAGACTAAAAAAGGAACAATAAGAAACAATCTACTAAGCAATAATTGATATCAAAAATGGTGGTATCATTTATATTCTGAGATCACAGCCCATAAGCTTAGGTATAGATTCAAATGTTGGGGGAAAACAATCCCATTTCCCAAATACTCCTACCTGTTGTCTGCCCATCACCACCTATTTCGACTTTTAGAATATGCAAAGAGGCACCGAAGTTTGGCTGGGGAAAGAAGTGACAGTATTAACACTGTGCTTCATTGCATGAAGGACAAAGCACTTCAAGACAATTACTAATTACTGCCTTTGGTGTTACGGATGAGAAAACCAAATAAAAAGCAACTTATTCCAAAAGCAATTTTCCATTTTTTAAAAAACTAGAATTGTGAAGGTGACAAATCCTATGGGTGAAATATACCGTACAGTTTCTAAAATATCACAGGTACCAATAAATAATTATTTTTTCATTACCTTAAACAGAAAATCCAATATTTGAGAACGATAGGGTTCTGGGTAATTTACTAGAAGACGGGAGGTTGCCTAAGAAAAAAAATTCAAAAGATGAATAAAACAAATCCAATCAGGAATACCTATTCATAGTGCTTATGCACTCCACCTAGCACACCCATGGTTAGCCAGCTCTTAGGTAGAGTTGAGCTGTGGAAAGTCACTTCCCAGCTTATTTGCTTGCCTGCCTTTGCTTTGCCCATCATTGGGCAAATAAGACTGTTGTTCATCCAATAGCTAAAACACAGAATCCAAGCAACAAGCAAGTTTCTCTTCCCCTGAGATGAGGGTTGGCTGGGAGGTAAGTTTGCTGAGTCTGTTGATGAACCTCATGACTACAAATTTATCTTGAGGACCTTGACTCACAGAGTGGTTATTAGAAGAAATGAAACTTAGGTTCAATATCTTAGGACCATTTGTCAACTACAATATCTGGGGGTCAGGATGGGAACGATGAATTTCAGGTTATTTTTCCCCTCAATATCTTGCAAGAGAATATTATAGGCAGCGATGCTGAAAGAAGCAACCAGTCTACTCATCCTGCTTAGAAATTTATAAGGGCTGTCTGTCACTAGTAAGAATGACCACACAATGATCCCCAGGCCAAGCTGTGCTAAACAAACCTCATACAAGATTGGCATCAAAATGCACAGAAAGACAGAAGTGGAAGGTTCAGGGACCAACACTTGATCACACCTAAACACAGGCTGATGACTGCTTGTATAAAGAAATCGCAAAACCAATAATTGACCAATAATGTGTCCTTTGGGGAGCAATATAAGCAAGGGGAATGAAAGAGCTAGGTTTTAACATGTGTGGAAGATCAAAATTTGGCCACTCCAAAATATATCTCCTTACCTTGATTATTTTCCCTGATGGACATTTGACCTCCCCCACTAACTGCCTAAAGGAATTTAACTCTGGGTATGAACAGACTGGCAGCGTCCTACATTTGTAAAGGTATCTCCCTCTGTGTACTGGGAAGAGGGGGGATAGCCTTATCTCTGGAAACTCCTATCAGGACGGAAGGAGAGGACTTAAATCTACACACCCTTGATTGCTGTGCTTTCCGTTAATCCTCCAGAGCTGTCTCCTCCCCCACCCCCAACATCCTCCTTTGTCTACCTGAATATGCTATTTAATGAAAACCTCGGCCACTGTGTTGAGAAACTGTTTCCCTGGTTTCTCCCATGTATACATGTTATTAAACTTGGTAGTATTTTCTCCTGCTAACCTGTCTTTTAATTATTTGGCCAGCCATAAGAACCTCAAGGGAAAAGGCGAAGGGGGATTCTCCCTCTTCCCCAACACATGAAACAGTGGCATGTGCCTAGGCTTGGAAGCCAGACAAGCCCTAGGTTCAAACCACTGACACCTTGCCAGGTGCATGACAAGGGCAAGATACTTGACTGTTATGGGGTCAACATTTGTTTTCTACTCTCCTATATGTCACCACTGACATTCTGGTGGTGCCCATATCTATCTCCCTCACACCTAGAACTTCCCCAGCCCCTGTCACTGAGACACAGGTCCATGGAGTGACTCTCTAGTCACCTCAACCTCAACACATCCTCAAAGAAATAGCACTTTTTCCTAAATCTATTCCTTCTCCTGCATTTGCTATCCTAGTAAAAAACATCTGCCTAAACCATAAACTTAGAGTCACCCTTTCACCAAACTTCCTATCCATCTTCAGTCACCAAGACCTCCTTAATATCTCTCAAATCCATTCCCTCCTCTTCAACCCCACTGCCTTCCTCTAGGCCCTCCTCAATGATTAGAATAGCCTAAATGTTGTTAGGGTCTCCCATCTGCCTCCCAGTGTTCTAGTCTCCACACTACTTGCCAGATTAATCTTCCCAAAACACAAATCTAATCATGAAACTATGCTGTTCAAACGTGCCAAGACCTCCCCTCCCCCAAGAGCTTTCAAGATAAAGTTCAAATTACTCAGTTTTATACCCAAATCTCTTAATTATTTGGATCCTAACTCTGACACTCTCACACCTTCTCTCTAGACATATCAAACTACTTTTTCTCTTCTTCTGTCTGGAATGCATTCCACGCCTTCATTTGGCCAATTCCAAGTCATCCTTCAGCTTTTGGCTCATACTCCACCTCTTCAAGGAAGGATACCTTCTGCTCCTCCCCACTGGGTGGATGTAAGTGCCTGTCCTGTGGACTCCCTTGGCACCAGGGCTGTGTCTCTACCATAACTCTTCTAACTCTGCGCCCTAAGCTCTGCTTTTCTTTTCTGTCTTACCTCTAAGTTCTTTGAGCACAGGGACTGTTTCTTATTCAAGTTCATATTCTCACTCATTCTTTTAATCAATAAAAATTTACTTAATATCTTTTATGTTATGGTTTGTTGCACTGGTACAGGTAACATACGATAGGAGACTTTGAGTCAGACGGAGCTTGTGTCCTGATTCCACCATTTATAAACTCTGACACCAAAGGCAAATTATTGGGTTAAATACCGGGTTAAATAATAAACGTTGACCCCATAACAGTAAAGTGGGTTATCTTACTCATTCAGCTGTTGTAAGACTAAAATAAGATGTATGTAAGGACTTAGCACAGTAGCTGGCACATAGGAAGCCCTCAACAAATGGCAGGCATTGTACACACAGATTGTTTTTAAAAACACAGTCACCCTTCTCAAAGAGCTTACAGCCTAGCAGACTCAAATATTAGAGTAGGGACTCCTTAAGTGAATGAATACTGTATATGCACACTAACCTCTCCCTGACCCAAGGTAAACAATGCTTTCTGCCCTACATTATGCTGTTAGAACCTTGTATTTTGCTGTTTCTGGGTTATTTTGCCCTCTATGTACTCCTATCCTTAACACAGAAAGTGCCAACTTTCCGCAAACACACCACATCATTATGCAAGCCTATAGTCGCACTCAATGTGAAAGCACTAGTCAATGGCAATAGTCAGTTAAGAGCAGTATAATCAAATGTCGAAATGCACCATCAAGCAATAACAAATTACCATATTACTAATCACGCTCTCTGAATAAGGCCTGGATTACAATCAGCTGTTTACAACCAGCCCAGAAAGAAGGATGGGGACAAGTCTTTCATTCAAAGGCCTTGGGATAACTTCCTCTTCTCTAATCTCTGAAACAGGATGATATTAACCAAAATTAGTCATGTGCCAGACACCATCGTAAGTACTTTACATCTTTCTTCACAAGGCTCCTACCAGGCAGGTATCACTGTATCCCCATAAAAGAAACTGAGGCACAGAGAAGTTAAATAACCTGCCTAAGGCTGTAGAGTGAGTGACAGGGCCCAGAACGGACCCCGGACAATCCGCTCTTAAGTCCACTTTCTTAACCAATGCACCATGTTGCCTTCCCTATCTGACATGAAGATTAAATGAGAACATTCCAAATACTGCCACAAACTGTGCTAGGTATCAGGGACTCAACAAAGAAGTTTAAGGTGGTGTGCAAATATAGTGTTGCAACCATTTTCATTCAATCAGGATTTACTGAGCTCCTAAGATGAGTAATGCTCTATACAAAGGGACATTAATGATTGTTGGATATCATATCTGATTACTTAATAGTCTCCTACTCTGAGTTATGAAACAATTCTCATTGTAATAATTTTAAACTGAGCTAAATAAACATAAAATAACTAAATACTCCATTTTTCAGCAAATTTAAACACTGGACTTAACATCACAAGTAAAGATATCAAGCCAGAGTCAGACCTCATGGTCTAGTGGTAAAAGTTCAGCACACTCCACTTGTGCAGACCAGGTTCATTTCCTGGGCACGGAACCACACCACTCGTCTGTCAGTAGCCATGCTGTAGAGGCAGCTCACACAGAAGAACTAGAAGGACTTACAACTAGAATATACAACTATATACTGGGGCTTTGGGGAGGAAAGAAAAAGAGAGGAAGATTGGCAACAGATGTTACCTCATGGCGAATCTTTCCCAGCAAAAAAAAAAAGATATTAAGCCAGATGGGTCTTCATTCTATGAAATATTGGCTATTTCAGGTTTCAACCACAAAAATAAAAAGGAGAATGGTGGTAACAAAGGACAAATACATGCCAATTAGTCCACAGGTTACCTTGAAATATGCGCCAGCACCTATGAGTGAGGTTGCAACATTAGGTAATAAAAGTGTAAAGATCAAGAAGAATCAGTTGGGTTGGTTATGGAAAAGATTTTTTTTTTCCACAGCAGGTCAGATCGGTGATCAGGCTACAGACCAAGTCATCCACTGAAGTGCAGGCCCTGAGAGTTGGCTTTTTCTTTTGGCAATACAAGTGCCTGACATAAGCTTTGATTGCTAAAGCATCCACTTTTCAATAATAATTACGTCTTATGGAATATGTACTTAAAAATAGTTCTCCAAGTCTTTTTGGTAACTTGAAACCTTAGAGTTTTGTTAGGTTAAGTTAAGTGATGGAAATTCATTGACTATATAAGTCATTGCCAAATAAGACAAAACACTGAAACATTAATTATTGAACATGGGTTTATCTACTTTTGATTTCTTACTACAGATACTTGGATCTGTTAGCAAACATGTCCTGTGCTACACTGAAAAATTATACTACAAAAAAAAGGGGGCATATGCTCCTAGAAATAATGAAATGTATTCATAAATTTGACAATCTACAGAATGCTATTATAACAGACAGTTCACAATTGCTTATTTTCTAGTTTTCACTAGAAATTAAGGTTTCTGAGAGTTAAGAATTCTAATTAATATATGTAATTAAAACTACTAGAAATAATAAAGGATACCTCTCTATGCAAGGGAAGTAGGATGTATTTTGGCTGAGAAAGGTATAAGATATGGAGATCCATTTTTATTAGGGGAAATGAAAGTAATTTTGCCCTAGAGTAGACAAACTAAATGGATATAGAAAGCTGGAAAATGAGAGAAAGAGGGAGAGAGAGAATTTTACCTCATGTAGTCAAGTTAGCTAAAAATGAAATAAATTTACCAGAAGGATTTTTTTTTTTAATATGCTTTACTAGTATACCTATGTAAAA